TGCTTGCTGCACATGTTTTGGCATCGCACTCCTTTTGGAGCCATGCCAGCACAAGGCTTCAGGTGATATGATGCAGGGTCTTGGGAAACAGGTGGTGTTAGGCGCATTTGACAGATGGCGACAGTAGAACTGATGCATTGCGTTGTGCACTGACACCTTACTCCGAAGCTCCAGCCCCGAGAGGCCCGTTCGTTAAGAACAGCTTTTCTGTATCAAGCGCTAGCCTCCCCAATTCTAGACCCCGACTCCCGCGAGCCTGAAGCAAATTCTCGTGCTCCTGCGATGGAAGATACCATATGGATGAGTTGGTAGTGACTGTACTTGAGAACATTAAAGGTCTAAGGTTTTTGTTATGAGCCTTCCTGACGGAACGTTGCTGTTCGCTTGCGAAGTTGCGAAAATCATTGAACCCCAACCGCGCCAAAACCCTCGACCATTATGCCGCAACCCAGAAAAGCTGAGGATGCAGACACAGTGCCCTGGCAGGAGAAGAGCTCCAGTAACGCTGCGGGTTTTGATTCGGTTTGGCACGGGTTCTCCGAGGCCACTGCCCTTCTCAAGCCTCACAGCCTCGCTGCTCGCAAGTCTTTGACTGTGCTCTGGACCTGGCTTTCAATTCTTGATCACGAGTGATCCTCGCACTCGTTCCAGGGCTGCTAGCAGACATGACAGCCGGATTCGCTAGATCGACCTCGACCTGCGTCTAATCTTCACAAGGACTGCTCGGTAACCGCCGGAGCCTTCATGCTCAAGCCGTATGCCGAGGCTGTTGCCCGATGTTGTGGCTTTCAACGCCGCGGTGGGAGCATGTGAAGCTTGGACGACAACACTAGGCCCCAGGCCAGCCCGGATCCCAGATTTCAGAGCCTTCACTCCCAACTCGGCCCCTTAGGGATCTTGGTAGGGGAGGTTCCTCTGCGAGGGTCAGCCCTTCCCTGTGAAGCGAAGTGTCTGCAAATCAGTACAGTGTTTCTGTTGAATGCCTGAAGCTGCCATGGAGAAAGGCTGCTGTCCAGGTAAGGTGTATGTGGCCATGACTCCCCCAGGTTCAGCATGGGACACTCCAGTAAAATTAGAGCATTGGCTGTCACTCTCCGTCTGAGTACAGTATGGTCGACTAACTGCTAAACCCATCCTCGACCATAAACCCTATAGCCCTGAACCCTAAACTATTCCACGTTGCGACGTTTGCAAGGCCCGTTTATGCCGCATATGTCACAGTCATCCCCTTCAGTTCTGGTACCCCCAAACCCATCAAAAGCGTCGAAGCCCCAAACTCGTAAGTCACATGGAAGCCCTCAGGCTGGTCTTCCTGAATTGACACCGTTACATCCTAAACCCCGCAAGCGCGAACCCTGAAGTACTAGTACCTTGCCGAAGCATCTGCAGTTGAAAGCTTTGTCCGCGCCCAGCTTCGGCTTTGAAACTGTACATGGTCGATTCCTATGGGTAAACACCAAAATCCCAAAGCATCCGAAGTGATGGTCTCTGAAAGTTCGGCGGGTCCTTGGTGGCCATTTTATTGAGAAACCCGCCAGTTAAGGTCGAGATTGGCCCTGAAGCGTTGACAGTCGCAACACCGGAAAGTCCTTCACCGGAACCCCGAAGCTCGCGCCAAGTCAGCACTGGGCCCTGCATCCTCAAACCTTGTGGCGCTTCCAAAGCCTTAACAGCTCTAAAGCTCCAGACCCAATCCCCGCGCCACAACACCGTGACGCCCTCGAGCCCCACTAAACTCGGCACATTGAAAAATCTTAAAGTTGTCCGAATACAACTCTTTCATGGCCTGTACCTAGAATCGATAAGCCTTAGACCCTGAATTCGTCAGGAGTCGTCGTCAGACTGGGATGCTGTTTTGGGCCTGCTCGCTGGCATGGCACGGGCGCGGGTGGCTAAGGATCCTCTGGGCTGGGGAAGTTCGGCCTCGGATTTGAGGAAAGCCGTCACAAGTGTGGTTCTGGTGGGATGCCGAACTCCGGAGCTTGACCGGCTCTTTGGGGTTTGGGAAGGGTTGATGAGTTCTCTTAACTATGCTTCTTGCGGGCAGGCTCCCTTTCCAAGTTGAGGCCTCGGATTGGTTGTCAAACCGCAAATCTCATGCCCAGGCCTTTCGTTGCATCTTCTCAGTGCAACCCGCAATGTGGCAGCTTCATGGACCAGGTATGTGCTCTGTTCACCTGGGACCAAGCAGAATCGTGTGCGTGGTCTCAGCCAGAAGTCAGGGTTTGAGGCCTGGATTCGAGAAGACCCCTGTGTCCGGTAAAGCCGTTTGCCACATGGTCTTTTGCGCTTGATGTGGCCCAACACAACGGACGTACCGTACTAGGAACAGCGCTAGTTTCATTCTCTTTGTCTCTCTCTCTCTCTGTCGCTCTCTCTCTCACTCTCTCTCTCTCTCGCTCGCCGGATAATATAGAGTCCTCAACACAAGCAATGTTGCAGGTTGTCCAGTTGTTGACCGCATGTAATGTAGACAAAGTCAGAACAAATCAGGCAGAAGATTAACTCCTGGAGTTAGAGCCCCGTTGCAGGTAAGCAGCCCTAAGTAAGCCCCAAGCAGAGCAGGATGACGTCTCGGTGGCTTTGGCAGTTAATGCCTCTGACCTGCATTTGCAACTTTGTCTCTGCTTTGAGTGCCCAACGAAGCAAGACTGGGCGCCCCCCAGAACACAATGGCAAGAGGCCGCATGCCTCTCGCACTAACCATGAACAAATCGATACGGGTTGTTGTGCAACCTTCTCGTGCGTAGCCAGGTATAATCAGTATTAACGACAATATTGTCGTGTCTACTCACATTTTCTCCTAATGAGGTTTATGATATCTGATATCTTGCTACAGGAAATTTAGTATCTGAGGCTTGTGCCCGCGCGCGACGCTGGAAGACGGCTTCCTGCCATTCAACCTTTGGGGCTCTACTTGGATTGAAATTTTGTTTCACGTAGCGTTTTAGGCAGGTGTCGCTTCAGATGTCTTCTGTCGCCACAGTTTGGTGTAGTATCCGGGAGGCGCAAGAGACCACACGACAGCTCCAACTGCAAAACAACTAGCTTGGTTAAGGGTCTCGGCTTAAGGTTTTGATGATTCCCGGGGCCAAGCTTGCAACTGTTGGCCCCTCAGCCAACGATCGTACCAGAAAATACCCTGAACTCAGAATAACTCAGAGTGCCGCCCCAAGCCCTGAAACTTAAATGCTCAATTAGAAACCCTCAATCCTAAACCGCCCGAAGCCAAAACGGCTGAACAAATGATCCTGCTCCCTGCAAGTTTGTTGTTACATTCCAGCAACCGGACTCCGGCATCCTGTCTGCGAATGACGAAACCACCAAACCTTAAACCGCCAAGGCCAACACCTCCGCTGCAAGCCTTGAATGAAATTAGCGGAGGCTTTGGCTCTTTGCACAAAGCCGGCCAGCGCAATCACCTGCAGCGTTCCTGTGCCGATTTTTCGTTTTAGTTTGGGGCTTGCGGGGGTTGTGGCAGAGCGTTGGGATGCTTGGGTTTTTTGTTTAGGGATCTTCAGCTTTTGCTCTGCCTGATCAGGAGCTCTTGAATACGGCATCCTACAGTATCGGGATCGGACTTCAAGTCTGCAAGCTGTGGGGCTCCAGGGTTCAGTTGCATACAGGCTCAGCAGGTCGTGGACGGAGCTGAGGTTTCAACCAGATTTTGGCTCTGCCTCATGCTTTCTTCGGGGTGATCGGCACCGTGGTACGGCTTAAGGGCTTAACCTATGCCTAAGATCGTAGAGGCCTCGAGTGACAATATCGGGTCTCCCATGGGTCGTTATATGTAGAGCCCACTACTGCGCTGGCCAACGGTCGTCCCACAATCGCTACTGACTTACATTATATAAGACGGAGTAGAGCTTTTTGTGTAAAGTAGAAAGAGCCTCTGCCAAATCGACGGACAATAGAAATTCTAAACAGGTGGATGTTGATCAGACTCGTTGTCCATGTCTACATAAAAGCGTGTTGCGGCAAAGGTGAGGGATTCAGCAAGTCGCACCAACTTCGAACTTCGTTTGTCTTTCTACAAAATCCCAGAACCAGGCCTTCATTACTGCATGCGGTTACGGCCGACGCTGGCAGCTGGCGCTCTCTACGCTCTTTGACAATACGGTGGCGTTCGCGTCCCAGACCGTCGTTTGCGGGATTTGGGAGTAGATTTCACGACTTCGTAAGCCGAAACAGGAACCTCTCTTGGCCTCACTAGGGGTTTGAGAGTTGCCGGGTTTTCAGTTTTACAAATGGTTGGAGCGGTTATGCAGCGCCTTGCAAAGCCGAAGACCTTGAAACCCTGAAACCTATAACAACTTTAAGTTCTAAAGCCCGAAAACCCTAAACCCCAGAACCCCAAACCTTTAAAGTCCATAAAGCCTTCTACTTGTCACTCATGAGGGGCTAGATGAGCAAAGAAACCCGAAACCCTTCAGCTTCACACAGACTGCCGTCAGGGTCCCTGGCTTCTAACAACACAAGCACGAGAAAAGCTGTAACAGTAGCAACAATAGTAGTGCCTTATAACATGTCCTTCAAGTAAGTCTTGCGACTCACACTACGTTGTGGATCTTCTTTCGGCTTCGAAAGAGATGAAGTACAGGCAGGTCCTAGAGCCTGAAGTATCTCACAAAGACAGGTGTTCTGGTTAAAGCTTTAGACTAATATATATATATGTATATACATACACATATCTCAATTCATATAATAAAAGACGAATATGCAAGTGAATATAAATGTGAGCATGAGTATGAACATAAGCATAGCATACATAAGTGAACAAGTGTGTGTACGCGCATATCTATGTATCATCTTATCCCACCTTATATCATCTCATCTTATCTTACCCTACCCCACCTCATTTCATCTGATCTGGTCTTATCATCTTATCTCATCTCATCTTATCTTTATCTTTGTCTTTGTCTTATCCTATCTTACCCTACCCTTCAATCTATCATATTTTCCGGAGAAGATGCCCGAAGTTTTGGACCACGTCGGACGAGGTCTCGGAGCGCGGTGTGCTGGAACGCCACCATCAGTGCCTGCGACTTTTGGCCACGGTCCTTGCTGTTGCAGCAGCTCTACTTGTATGGGTTTGTCCAGCATTTGGGGTTAACTGTCTCGCCGGGGTTATACTTATAGGTCAGAGTGGCGCAGGAGTTGACAGAGTTCGCTTTGCAGGAGGCATGTTTGAGGACACACTTGACTTGGATTGAAATGGAGTGAGTCGTTTGCGTCATGGTCTAGGATAGCTCGTGTTTGAACCCACTCATGCCGCCTTGCAGGACATTCTTCGCGTTGTATTGGCCACTGCAAACACGTTGAAGAATCACCTGCCACTGCTTGCCGGTGCAACTGCCTTTGCACTAAGCCTACCTTCATGAGGCTGGAGAGTTGCAAAACGTGGTTTCTCAACCCAAAGCTGTCCCCAGCATCCGAGCTCCCAGGCATTGAAGAAGGCTCTAAACAACATGCTGACTTGCAAGCTGTCTTGCCCCCACTGTACACCAGAAAGCACACAAAACCGAGAAGCTGCAGCCTACATGATGCTGCTATCTCCCTTTATCCAGAAGGCTGTTCGCAGAAATGTGCCCAAGTGACAGCCGAGGGAACGCATGCAAGAGCTTCGTCTGCGTGCTGATGTCTTGGGCTACAACGCCACGCTGAGCACCCTGGAGAAGGCGAGGGGGATTTGGCCACTGCCCATGCTTGAAAGTGCATTCCTGAAGCCTGAAACCGTCACGGTGGGCTTTGAGAACATGTGAAATAATTCCTCTGCTGCAGCCGAAACCCTCCCAAAAATGCTTTGTGGCTGAGTCAAGCCATGAGCCGAGCATTGATCTTCCCTGCCTCGCCTTCCCGACACTGCAGCCCGAGACTGGGTAGCCAGACATCAGCCCCAGCCATCCATATCTGCGGGAGGCTCTGCTTTCATTCTCGTTTCACGGTTCCATGCGTTGCCGGTTCTTTTGAGCTCACATAGACCCAATTTGGTTGTTGCCAAGAGATGCTGGGTGCTCATTGGCTGCGAAAGCTTTCAGAGCAGGCAGCACGCATCATGCTGCAGAGTTTTCATCGGCTCGAATGTTCTGGGTCCTCTCCAGTTGCAACGAATGGTCATTACAATTTAATACAAAGTACAGACCACAGTTCCTGCAGGCCAAAGTTCCGGCTTCTCCAAAGTCTCCGAACCCTTTGAAAGGGGGACGTGGTTAACTTCACCACGCCGGAAAGTCGGTTTTCCATCGTGCTCCCCCGGATTGCCATCTTGCCGAAAGAGCACGTCTTTCTGCACCCTTCGTATGAGCAAAAGACTCGAATGTTGATGTGTGGACACGTGCGGTGCACAAAAGTCAAGACTCTTTTCAGCCGTGCGTCATCGAGCACCGCTGTCGAAGCGCTCGGCAGTGGAAACTGTTGTGTCGACAGTAGGCGTTTGCCAAAACATGTTCCACTGCTTGTGTTGCCAACATAGCGGCAACATGCAAGAGATGAATATTCATAGTTGCCCACCGTCAATACTTCATAACAGGATGATACGGCATATCGTGCAAAGCACAGAAACTTGATAAAGGTGTCGATCCCACTGCGTTCTGGCGCTGTCAACCAAACGTTTCCCCACACAAACTGAGAATGCCGAAGAAGTCACGTGGTGACTCTTATAGTTTGGGATTTCCCCAGCATACTAATCGCACATTGTGGCTGCGGAACATGTTTCCAGGCAACAGTGTAGATTACAGACTAGATTCGATTGCATTCCTTGGCAGTTTAGGTGTCTTCTTGAAGTTCCGTATTGAAGGCGGAACCACAAAGCTTCATGATGAGAACATCGCAAGTGTCGAAAGATTTGGCGATGCAAGACGTAAAGCTTCAAAACATGGCTGCTTTCGTTTGGACCAGGTTGACAGAAGGAGGGTTTTGCGCCGCACGAAATTGCTGAGCATAGAGGCGTCGTAGGGTTGAGACGGTTGCTGCGCGTGCCTTAAATGCATTGCAAAACCCCGCAGGACAGTCAGGGGCTGCCATCCTCCCAGGGCCCCGGTCGCTTGAGCCCAGCATCCCATTTGTTGAAGAAAGCACGAGACTGACTGGTGCTTGCGTCCCGAGCCTCGAATATCTCGAAAGACCCGTGGCCAGGGTGGTCAGTGGAGGCTTGCCTTGGAAACGTTCCGAACGTTGGGGCAGCACCCGCTGGGACCGGATGCCATCTCTTTCAATTCCGTCATCAGTGCTCTCGAGAAAGGCGTGGCATTCATGGGCGGTTTCTCTCACCAGGGCGATTGGAAGGTCAGAGAGACAAAGATAACACACATGAAAAGTGCCTTTGACTACATGACCTGCACCCCGAAGATGTAGGTCGGCCATGATGAACCTTTATGCGGGGAGGCTTCCAATGGCAGCTGGCCACGAAAATGTTGACTGAGAGCCTTTGCCAGCATTGCAGCGCACAGCCTTGAATTTACATGTCCTTTGTCTGCCAAAGTAACGAGTATGAGCGTGGAGCTCAGTGATACTGTCCACGTCACACTTCAAACCGGGGTGCATGATTATTCAAGCTCTGCATTCAGAGTTTACTCATATCGTCGCACTGCCATGCCTCGCTTCATGTTTGTCATGTCCATCCGCTTCCATCAGTACTCCTTCTTTCTGTTAGAAGCTTGATGATGGGAAATCACTGTTTGCCAGGATGAGATTTTGATGTGTGCTTCCGCATCAACTGCATCATCATGTTATGGATTTGCAAGGTTCGTGGTTTAGGAGAAGACTCGTGACTAGTGACTAGGATTGTTGAATGACGATTTGTCACAGGTGCCAAATCGTGGAGACATGCAACTGCAAGCTGGGACCCTCACTCGAAAACATGAGGATGCCCTTGGTGGACATCCGGCCCTCAGCGATTACCTTCAATGCCACGATCAGCGCGTGCGAGAAGGGACTTTGGGCAGAAGTGTCTAAACGTGGGTAAGGTTGTGCTTGTCTTCCAAGGCCTTGATGCTATCGGGTTTCGGAAGGCTCGCTCACCACAGATCAGGAGAGAAGTGGGCCTTGTCCCTGGCCATACTGGAGAACATGGTCGAGCAGCAGGCCGTGCAGCCAGATGCAACCTGGCTTGAGCCTGAGCCAAGTGTGTGCGTAGATGATAGGGTCGGCCCTGCCCGCGATGATAGGCAATGGCCATTCCTAGATATCAATCTCAATGGGAGTTGCCGTGCAGCCATAAGACAATGCAGCCTGCAACCCCGTGCATGCTGTATACTTTCGGCCGCACTTGCCGGGGTCTGGTGGCAGGCATATTGAGGGAGTCTCAGGATCGCTGGACCGCCTAGCATCCCAAACTCCTTTCCGGCGAAGGTGGTGTCGCACAATGCTGCTATCGCAGCATGTGAGAGCGCAAGGGAGTGGGAGATGGCCCTGGCGGTTTGTGCCGCTTGGCCTGTGGGTGCTAGGATTTCCTGACTTAGTGTAAAAACACAGGGTTTTAAGGATGTCGGTCTGCAGTATCTTCGTTTAAGACGAAAGGCCGCAGGTTTTATAGCAGATTCAGGGTTTCAGGGTGACTAAAGCTGTTGAACATGTGGCTGTTGCACAGCAAGGCTTGTAAGGCAGAGAGTTCTGAATCAAGGCTTGCACTAGCGCCTTGGCATTGCGAGATCCAAGATTTCGGATGTGGCCGCTTGCGACGTTGGTGTGACCACCCAACTCATTGTGACTAGCCTCCGCTCCAATTATATTTAACACTCGCGAATCATCAGTCTGTAGGCCCCTTAGGGCATCCATCAGCTTCCACCCATGGATGTATTTGTTATTCGTAGTATTGTACGCTTCCGGGCATTCGATCCCGCGCGGTACAGGCATTGCATGGCTTTGCTCCAGGAGGCCACGCTGTAAACTCAGCCGGCGGGGATATTCGGACACTTACGCAATCTTCGAAGCCTTAAACCGTAGCCGTAACCCCCTAGACAGGCCTAATGACCTTCAAAGCGCTCTCATCTCAGAGCCCTTCTTCCAACCTGAAATCATAATTAATGGGGAATCTCAAAACGAGCTATCGAAATTGCAGCATCTCGGTTTAGGGCTACAGGGGTTGTGGGCTGTGGGGTTTACGCCATAAAAAGGACCCAGCCCCTGCAACCTTCTGAGGTATGATCCTCTAGCTGCTGCATCATCCATCCCAGCATTCCCGAATCCATTCCCGAGGGGCACATGCTGGCACTGAATCAACAACGCCTCACACCGCGAGGCCCCCAAACCCTCTAATTTAATAGCGGAAATGAACAGTTAATCTAGCATTAACAGCAGGCTTCCAAATGCTTAACGTGTTTCAAGAGTTGCCGTAATATTAATATAATAGAGTCTACAGAACATATACCGCCTATACCCATGACAAGGACCTGTTGCCACAGCGGAGCCTCCCGAACAAATCGTTGCGAGGATTGGCTTGCGGCTTCAGGGTTTCAACTTGGAGCCATGAGGGCTCAAGACATCAGTAGATTCAGTAGATGAAGCCGTTACACCCCGAGAACATGTTGGCGGTGTTGAGGTGTTGGGGGAGCTCGCGATCTGAAGCTGGTGTCCCGAAACCCAAGACTCAGCCCTAAATGACCCAAAGCGAAATTAAACTGGCCCCACCCCGGACCATGAGCTCTAAACCCTTGACGAGGATAAGAGCAATGAGTCGGACCTGTTTACTTCGACTTCCCCTCAAGTGGTGTGTGTCTTCCCAGGCTTCAAGTGAAAGCCCGAAAGCCTCTTTTGATTTTCGCTCCTCCAACTGTCACTATTGCATTTTTCGAGAACGACGACGCCTACTAGGACGACAAGTACTACTACCATTACAACTGCCACTACTACTGCTGGTGCTACTCCTACTCGGCTACGGCTCTACTACTACTCCTACTCCGGCTACTCACTCCTACTGCTCTCCCACTGCTCTCCTACTCTCCTTTTGTTACTGCTACTGCGACTGCTGCTACTACTGCTACTACTTCTACTGCTAGTGCCACTATTCCTACTGCTAGTACTGCTACTACTGCTACTGCCACTGTTCCTGCTACTACTACTGCTGCTGCTACTGCTACTACTGCTACTGCCACCATTCCTACTGCTACTACTGCTACCGCGACTGCTGCTACTAGTGCTACTGCTGCTACTGCTAGTGCTGCTGCAGGTGCGACTGTCACTATTCCTACTGCTACTGCAGATACTAATGTTGCTAATGCTTGTACTGCCACTGCCATTAGTCCTACTGCTACCGCTGCTACTACTGCCACTGCCACTGTTCCTACTGCTATTGCATCTACTACTGCCACTATTCCTGCTGCTGCCACTGCGGTTACCATTGCCAATGAGCACCGCGACGTTTATTGCGGAGCCTCGCAACCTGGTTATTGCACCGGAGATTCCAATATGTAAATCTGGAATGCACAGCCCCTGAGCACCCTGAGTACATCCCTAACTCATGAGCATGAACGATTCAGAGCTTGATGCAACTCAGCTTTGGATTGAAGGGTTGAGCTTTCGCGTTTAGGGTTCTAGTTTAAACTTGTGTAGGAATCGCATCCGTTTCATGTAGTAGAGTAAGCCTCCTCAATGAGGCTGTCAGCTAACCGGCCGTTGAATTGTGCTTGCGGATTATGTGGATCATTGCAACTATTCAAGTTTGCAGCTTTGAACCTGCGCCCAGCCATTCTAAGGCTTGTGCCCGACTGTGGTCACCTGCAACTCCTGCATCAGCGCATGCGAGAGGCTTGGGCGCAGTGGGCTGGGGAATGGATGGAATCTTCTAAACAACTTGCGCAGCACTTTCCTTGCTTCAAAGGCCTCGGGAAGTTTGTTTTTCACGTAGTTTGGTGGCAAGTTTCAGAATTCCCATTTTTGGTCGACGCTTTCGGCTTCGAAAACCAGGAGGCACAAGTTTCGGACAATCAGATGAAGCTGCAAGCGCCAAGGAAAGGCCTTCAATGGGAGCTCTCGCTGCGGCTCCTTGCAGCGACCTGCCTGCAAAATGGCGGATAGAGACAGAAACCAGCTTCGCATGCTGTGCCAGCAGTTGTGTTCATCCCACAACTGTGTTAATCGCTGTCATCATCGAAGCTCTTGAGTGGTGGCGCTTTTTCCTTGAGACCCTCATCAAGAGGCGGACACTCTAGGCACATCCTGGTATATTGTTGCTCGGTTAGCCGTGCAAAAATCGTTGTACTGGCAACAGCACAACAGGGAATAGTAGCTGCAGCCTTCGGAGGGGAAGGAGAAGGACAAGGAAACCTAAGGATCAAGGAACAGACAAAGCCACTTGATCGAAAAAGCGCCGGTAACTGAGTGATTTGGTGGTTTGCAAAGAAGTATATGACGCACTCAGGGCTTGCCGACGCTGAACCTTGTGGCGGATGAGATCAGCTACAGCGCGGCCGTTCTCGCGTGCGCGCTGCTTTCCTGCACTCGCGCTTAATGCACAAAGCCCTAAAGCTCCCTAGTCCCCAAACCTTCAGCACCTCAACCACAACATCTTATTTCCATAGCCTTCTCCCCTGGCAGTCGGAGTCCATAAACCTCATTCCCGAGCGCCCTTTTGCGCTGAGAGTCAATAAAACTGTCCGACTAGAAGGGCAGTCAGCAGAACCGCAGTGACAATGAAGGAAGCCTGCGTAGTCGCTGGTAGCGGTGGCAGCAACAACAGCAACAGCAATCCAGCTACTCATCAAGGCCACAGGATCATCAACAGTTTCATGATCTGCAACACAGAGTGCTCCCGACATGTTTGATGCCCAGCCTCCGAGGAACTCCAGCAGATGGGAGTCGGCTTTTGCTCTCTGGGACACCTGCTTGCAGCAAGGCAGAGGATGTAGGGGTCTCCATGCGGGCGGGCACGGTTTAGGTCTCACTTTGTTCGATCCAAACAGACATCTAGGACCTAGGAAGGCCAGTCCCGTCTTAGAAAGGGTGTGTGGGACGGCTTTTACACTTTACTGCTGCTGTGGGAAATTTGCTGCTGAAGCGAATCCGGATAGTGGACCCAGATTTCCACATGTCAGCCGAAGAAACTATTGATTACTCCAGGGATTACCCCATGCTCCGGTCTGTAGTATTGGGCGCTAACCTGAGAATGGTATGATTCAGTGCATGACCAGCAGCAACACAAAAACCTGCTTTGGGAGGCATCTCTCCTTGCATTGACAGCCCGCTCCACTTCACGTTGCTCATGCTCAGTGACGCTTGCTTGCGATGCATCAAACTCGGGATTCCCCAACCAGGATCAGCTGTAAGAAACTGGATAGTTAGCAGCATCGTTCCGTAGTGGCCTCAGTGTGCGTCGATGTAACAAGCTTGAGATACTCCGGACCTCCCTGATGCGGTCTTGGACGCAGGCCTGCAATTTCGAAGCCCGGCAACTTTTTTTGTCCGTCTGTAAAAACCCACTCGACGCCAGCCCAAACCAAGTGGCTTGCCTCTGACAGCTCAGGCAGGGTCTTGAACATTTGCGGGAACTACTCTGCCGTCTGGGGACCACGTGTGGGATTAAGATCATGCGGAGTCTGCTGTGTGAGGATCTCCCGGCTGGCCAATGTAGCTTGTGTCTGATTTGGAGGCTGCTTTTTCCTTGCATGTTTCTTGCAGAGCTGAATTTGTTGACGCTGGTCTATATACACGACAAGCAGGTGATACGTGTTTGCGCGCACAATGATCTCTTAGGCTGCCAATCGAAGCCGATGTTTTGGAATCTAACGCATCAGAAGCTAGTTCATTCAAGGAAGACTCCTTCAAAGCGAAGTATTCCAGAAGCTTTCATATTTCACTGGTAAGGAAAATATCCGCATAACCTTATGCTTATACCGCACGATATGCCCTACAATCCAAGCGCAACAGGCCCGGTGTACTCTGAGGACTTTGAATTTCCACATCGGCCGACTGCAAGCCCCAATTTTTGGCTGGAAGCCTGGAACCCCAGTCCAGGCGGACCTGCTTTGCATGCCACGAAACTTCCGAGCATGGAAACCCCGAACCAGCAAACCCTGAGTCCAAGACCTCGAAGCCCCGAAGCCTAGGAGCAGCACGCGCTGCGCAGCCGCGAGCGCGAGCTGCTGTGTCGGCTGCCAAAGACGGGCTGGTCCGGTAGCAGCCCGGTTGAAGTATTTGGGTTAAAGGCGTTCTACAACCTCTAAGCCCGGATCATTGCTTTTCCTTCTTGTTACAACTGGAGAATAACACTTTGCAGCAATACCGTCTATACTCCGTTCTTGTACACCTTGTTGAGATCCTTCGCGGTTTGAGATGTCGGATCTGCGCTTTCGAGGGTTAGGGAAGCAGCACGGCAAACGATGCATGCTGATGTCTGCGCCCCTTCACCTGTTACATCCCGCAATGTCGCACTTTGAACTTTGAATGTCTTAAATCTTAAACTGAAAGGAGAGGTTTGGGGTTGAGGGTCACATGCCCTCTATTTAGGGTTTGCGTGGATGGATCATTGCTGACTCTTTCAAGTTGTGTTTTTCGGGTAAGAAATGGTTTGGTTGGGCAGGATTTTCGCGGTGTTCGACGAGGCTGAGCTACTCATAGAAAGCCGCTAGTATAGCAAATTGCAGCTGCATCTAAATCACCAAATGCAAACCTCGCGCTCAATAATAAGCCTGATGCGCCAGTCGAAGTTCCTTCGTGAAATGCAACACCGTCGCACATGCCATGCCACCGGTGAGCCCGAAACCCTGCCCACAAGCAGAGTGCCGACAGTATTCCTTTCGGAGGCATCCCGGTCCAGAACATCTTGGCCTTCCACCTCGCAGTGGAGGGCCGGGCCGCGGTCTCTGTCCAAGCGGCCGGTGAGCAGCCTCCCGTATGCAGGAGTGCAGGAGTTGGAGGTCGGGTTTCGTCTGTCTTGGCGCCTTTGCTTGTGGATTCATGCCTGCAAGTAGCATTGCAGTAGCAGCTTTGAGTTTGAAGAGGCGTGTCGAGCTCTGCAGCATGGAAATAACACAGCCTGACAAAACAGCAAAATCACTGGCAGCAGTAGTGAGAGGAGTGTTGACAGCCCCCCCCCCCCTCCGCCCCCCCAGCACCGATGCACGACTTCAAAATCGAAGCCCGCGATTGAAAACCCGACTCACACCAAGCTCGAACCTGTTTCCAAGACAGAAATTCTCAACTGCCTGCAGCTCATGATCACACAGGCAGAATCCGTTGGGACTTCGAATTCGCGCTGCATGTGGGGCTTGGGACCTGGCTTCCAGCAGAAAAAAAGGCTTTGCACGAGTGAGTGTCCAGGAAGCTGCAGGCAAGGGAATATTGTGGCACGAAACGAGATCTGACAATTCAGGTTTGCCTCAGAGAAGCTTAAGCCGATTTAGCATCCAGGACGAGGTTACTGAGACATCGTAATTGAAGATGAAAGCAGCTAATGGTAGCTAACGGCTCGCCGCTTTTTTGGGAAAACACGTTAACTCATGTGTGTGTGTATATATATATAGAGAGATATACGTATGTAGCCGCATGACACTGACGGTCACTGTGCTCAGAAAATAACAGTGGTCACTGTCATAGCAGCCAGAGGTTGATACTGAAAATCATGATGGCAGTTAGATGTGATGATCACAGCCATGCAGCATGACCGGTAAGAGTGTTGATAAAGCTGACACTGACAGGTAATACTGGCAACGACAGTCATTCCGAGTTCAACGGCAACAATACGCATGAATGTTGGAATCGCAAATACCACCACATTGGTGTCAATATTTAATTGCCCTGCTCAAAGTCAAAATCCCCTAAACCCATGACCCTGAACCCCTTAGTAAGGGCAAAAATGATATTGACTTGACCAGTGGATCCCCCATCAGCATTTCCGGGTTCGGGCATTGGGAGACTTCTGTCGCCTAACCCTGAAGAGGAGTTTGATGATCTCGCGCCAACCGCTGCATCCGGAAACCGGGCCCTGATACTGGAAGGAATAGCGGAATCAGGGAGGCAAGAAGCAGACGCCAGAGCAGCAAGAATGGCATCCCGGTCGGATGTGGCCCACAGGAACTTGTGTATCAGCCTCGCCCACCAGGGCTCACTGCCAGCAACCGAATCCTCTACTCTGAGCAAGAAGCCCACATCCGCAGTAATGGAACGAAGCTTTGAGGTTTAGGCTTTAGGGGTTCCTGGACAGGATTCCGTTGCCACGCCGGCTCCCACTTTGGAGGCAGCAGATCTCGGTGAGATTCATGTCGGCATCTCAATAGTTTTTGATATCGTCGTCGTTTGTATAGTGCTTTTTGCTCATTTACTCTTAGTTTACGGAAAGAGCATAGACAGCAAACCCCATCTCCATAACCCTACAACGACATTGAACGCTCAACTCAAAACAGAGCCCCAGGTCCAATGTCTTCCCAATTGTAACCGCGGCCCTTCCGCAAAGCTCCTGTCGAGGTTGCCGAGCTAGGCTAACGTCCGTCAACATGCGGTCATACCTTCCTGTCAGCCTCCAGATCTCACAGTGCCTCAACCGGAAGTGCCCAAGCCATCTCTAGATCTCAAACTCTAAGCGCTTGTTGCAATTAACTGCGTAAACCTTGAAGCCGAAACCTGCAGACCCTGCCGCTTCGATTCGGTTCGGGATGGAGGGACTCCGCGATGTGGGCGTCTTAGCATCTCTTTGAACAGCGGGTGCGAACACGCATCTCATGCATGGTTTTCGTGGCAACTTGGCAGCTGATGCCAGGACTTCTTAGCAGCTCCGGCGCTGCCGTACACTCTCACTGCCGATGCCTCAGCAGCGAATGGATGGGCGGCTTTGCAACTCCGAGGGCGATCGATTTGTGTATCCAGCTTCTACCCATCATCATCAACATCATCGTGATTATTATCATCATCATCATCTTCAGCTTCAGCTTTCAACAGCATCATATTCTTCTTCATCTTCATTACCACCGTCATCACCATTTTCATCGTCATCATCCCCACCATTATCCGCAACAGCATCAATCGCAGTGTCGTCTCTTTAGCAACAGCGGAGACGTCAGCATAGACATCGGCATCTGCATCGGCAGCATGTGCAGACTCTCAACGCTGATACACAGTTACAACTTCATTGGGTCACAGCCTCTTCAGGGCTTGAAGTAGTTCAGGTTGCAAGTGTCTTGAACAATGCAGACTGAGGAACTCTCCAGCCAGGAATGCAGCTTGAGATCCTAGCAACTTCGGGTACATTGGATACTTTGGGTGCAATCGCCACCTTCTTCCTCTTGGGCTGCTGGGTTTAAATTCGAACAGGCCTGGGGCTGCCCGAATTCAGCGCAATTGGATCTAAGCTGCCCGAGGCAATTTTTTTAGCAGAGAAAACTCCGCGCCAGCCCCCACTTCCAAGGAACGGTTTGTTTTGCGGCTTCAGGCTTAAAGCTTACGGTCCTATAGCGGGGTCTGGATTGCCTTGGGTCGCAAGGTTTCAGAATCAGAACGGAGGAGGCGGTTGAGAGTCCAATCGTGGAGACGCCGTAGACATTGACATCACGTGAGCACCACAAGCACCGGGGGTTGATTCTTTGGGCATTCAGGGTTGGTTCTTAGACATGCGCCGCCTCGCCGTGTTTTCATGTCAAGTAAAAGTAGCTATCGAAGATGACTCCCAGGGCCGGAAAGGCAGGATGCCCTGAGAGGGGGGTTGTCAGGATTCGACCGAGTAAACCCCCGAACCCAAAATTTCGTACAGGCACTTGGGGCTTCATGGGATCTTATAACGTGGCGCTCCAGTGGTCGGGTGGTTGCTTCAGGCTGTGCCTATGACTTGAGTGGTCTGCAAAGTGTCCATTACTGTCACGGGCATGGGGTATTTTGCAGACCAAGAATTGGAAACCCCGAGCTGGAACACTTAGGCATTTTGAAAGTTACGGGTGGCTGCCTGTCGAGATGATGAGTCGAGTGAAAAAATAACATCCACGTTCAGGGCTTCGGAAACTATTTGCGGTGTGTGATTCGTGTTCGGAACACGACGGTGTTTTACTGACGAAAGACTCAAGGCAGTCCGATGTCCCTAAATTTCTCGGGCATGGAGCTTCAATATCCTGTATGTGTACCTTAGAGTCTTAGAGCCGCCAGGAATCATTCGGGGAAAATTGCAGAAATCCCGGCAGTGTCACCGCCACCCTAGAAGGACCCGCAGCACCCTTGTCGTCTTGCTAACTTACCGGCGAGCTATACACACATGTATATATATATATAAACACACACACACACGTATACATGTATATACCGTCTTTGCGCTTACCTGTTTACATCAGTGCCTTCAACAAGCCGCCGCAAAGTCAGCAGGCTTGACATGGCATGGCTGCCAATTCCCTTAGAGGAGGGAAGGGCGTCTACGGCCCCCACTGCCTGCAGCGCCTTGGCTCTGTCGAGCTTGCCCTTGGTCGTGCACCTCGCGAGATCGTTCACACTGATCGTTCACACTCCGCAGCAGTAGTGTCCAGATAATACAGCTTAGTCAGTTTTCTGAACGTGACCGTCCATCTAGTTCCGGACAGCTGTGCCTGAGGCGGTGTTAAGTGTAAAGGCCGTGCCCGGTTCTTCAGAGGCCTCAAAAACTTTGAGTAGTGATATCTTGCGACATCGTTTTTGCACTCTCATATCAGGTTGTTCCTTGTTGCTCACCGGATAGATCACGTCGTGCTTACTTACAGATATCGAGCCTGTGTTCATTTTACCCAAGCCTGTGGAAACCAGGACATATCTCCTGTGAGGCCGAAACCCAACAGTTCTCCAGTCGCGAGATCGCAGGTCCAAAACGTGAGAAAGCTTGACGACACCAATCTGCACCCTCAACTCGAGTGCTTCAGGCCAAAAGCGTTCACCCCATACAAAAGACGACAGAAGACTACGGGCACCTTCGCATCAAGGTTTAGGGCTTAGAGACCAGCTCGTAGTGCATTCCTGTAAAGGCTGAATTTTGCTTCTTCTTGCTTCAAGTAGCAAGTTGTCAGGATCTTCAATCCCTGACTGCATGACCGAAAACCCCCGACCTCGCAAATTCCTTGACTTGACATGTAGTGTATGATCACACCAGGCAATGTTACAGAGAAACGTATTGATCGCAATCAACACCCCATGGCCCCATGAATCTCCAAATGCAACCTTGATCCGGGGAAACTCCCAACTCCTTCGTCAGCTCCTCGATCCAACGCTACGGGGCTTCCCGAATCAAGTGATTCTCGCAATCTAAACCTCACCCCGCAAACCCTGTAAGGAGCAACTGGTTCGAAGCCCGCCTTGAGCCAGCGAAGGAGGGAGAGGCAATGTTGCTGCAGTAACTGTGTATAGTACTACGCAGTAGTAGTAGTAATAGTGGTAGTAGTAGCAGCAGCAGTAGTAGGAAGAGTAGTGATAGTGATACGTGATGATAGTGGTGGGTGCAATGGTAGTTGTTGTTGTTACCGCTGTTGCTGTTGCTGTCGCTGTTGCTGCTGCTGCTGTTGCTGTATTGTTGCTGTTGCTGTTGCTGCTGCTGTTCTTGTTGTAGCCGCTACGGTTCACATCCGGCATCTTAGCTGTGCCAACCTGGCTTCGGGCGTAACTCTAAAGCTCTGCAACGAGCTCCTTTGCGAAGCGTCAAGGACGTCCCTCTGCTTGAGCCATTTGAGACTGCACTCTGTGAACTGCCGCGTCCCAATTCCCGGACCTCTGCGCGACGGCAAGTTCTGGACGAGCTGGAGGTAAGCGGTAGGGTTTCCACTTTCTGCGCGGTGGAAGGGGCTGTTTTTGTTTTACACAAGTGTTGCGAAGTCTTTTTCCCGCCTATGCTCTTATGTTTACAAAAGGACCTGTCACACCAAGCCAATCAAGGAGCAGCTCCAGTTCTATATTGACCGTCTTCTGAACTTGGGTACCCTGAAGGAAGCTTTCAAGACGAGGTCAGCGCTTTGGCAGAAATACTGTCGGGAAACACACTTGCAGACCAGTCATCTGACTGATCAGGCCAAATATCACCATGCACCGACAGTGCCTTCGTTGGACAGTGGCTGTCAAGCATGCACTGCCATCCTGCTGCTCTTAAGCATTGAAGCCATCAGCATCCAGCCCTTGCTTTTGCATCAATGCTGCTTATGTCCTTCGGTACAGACAGAGACACAGACAGACAGACAGACACACACACACACATACACACACACACAGACAAAGCACGCATGCACTGGATTTGCGACGTCAAATTGATTTACTACCGCAATTTTTCCGATGGCTTGAATTGAGCGATGCATCGCAAGCTGCCTGGTTTTGTGGTCATGTCTTCCTGGTCTCATTCACGGCCTCTCACTGTTTGGGGATTTCTGCTGGCATAGCTAGTTGCGGTGTCAAAGGTACAGCCACACACTTGACCACCGCATGCATCAGTTGGGGCATGCTCACAACTCGGCCTGGGTAACGTGCCATGCAAGAATTCGGCAGCACAGCGCATCGCTGGCCAAGGGCCACTGTGCGCACAGCTGCCTGCGTCATCTTCATCAGGATCTTCAACCATCTCCACCCAATCGCCGCTGCAAAGCACAGCCCAATTTCCGCTGTCAGGCGACAGTATCTCACACGACGGCCAAGCAGAACTTTGAACTACCCGCCAGGACAATCCTCTGTTACTTGATGTCCGGGTACCTTGATGATACCCATCTTCCTTTCCAGCTGTTGTACCAGGCGAAAAGGCTGTGATTCCTGCAGCCTGTGCTGCAATGCTCTCTGGGTCCGCAGATGAACATGGAATATCAACCCAAGTACCTCCATATTCCCGCATAGATGCCAACACATAGACCTGCTTTGTCTGCCCTGTTTGCTGCTGTTGCGGCTGCAGCAAGAGGCTATCTTCTGAAAGAAGCCCAACTTCCTGGAGCATCGTCGTAAAATGGCCGAGACTTCGCTCCAAAGCTGGGTGCAAATGATCCCAAACTTCTCCTTCAACACCATGCCTCAAAAGCTCCAGTAGTGCATCGATCGGAGGGTCTGAACGATCCATTAGCAACATAGCGCGCTTAGCAACATCCTTCTCCTTCTCATCGCAAGCCTCAAGTGCCGACAGCACTTCAGTCAGCGCTAGAGGATCATTTTCGGACTGAAGCTTGCGTGCACAAGCTGTCGCTCGTGAAGCAGCAGACACGTGCCCTGAAGCCAGAAGCCTCTTCGCTGCTTTAAGGACACTGTTCAAGTTCAAGTCCTCGCGCTGAGAACATGAAGCAGGGGAAGCATACCTCTGGTCGGTGCATCCGATTGGCTCGAGTGGGGTCGCAGTCTTGCGAGCTCCACGGGCTTTGACATCAGGCCTGGCCGCCAAGAATCCCTTCTTCATCCTCTTTCATGCAGTAACTGTAGTAGCTCTTGGCTCTTGATCTAGGACTTTATGGACAGGAAGACAAGAGTGTCGAATGGCGGATGGACTGACACCTTGCTGGTGCGTCGTGTTGCATGAAACGCCTGATTCTGCACACCAGTCGCTGCATTGAAGTGTTGAATTTCGCAACTTGAACCACGGACTCTGACGTCAAAACTTGCGGTGTGCATGCCAGTACCTTTGTGCCGTTGCGAACCCTGGCAATTCCCAACATGCCATCCTCTTGAAGATTCGACACGGACGCCTCACGATTTTCTGAGGCTTCGGTGTGCTTGGGGAGCATAGAGACAAAACATGTCGCCCTTCCACGGGTCATGCCTTCAGTTTTATCATAAGGACCCCTCCTAATCTTACCGCACTAAACAATGGAGCAGGAAAGGGAAGGCCCCCCTCCCACATGGAGTTCAGAGATATAGTAACTAGATCGGCAAGCTCCACATAAGCAGAAAACAGCTTCATGAGGGACACTGCACTTAAATTCCACTATGTGTGCCTCTATGCCTTGGCCCTCTGTCAGTCTCTTGTGGGATTTGGAACGGAAATAGAGCTCCTGCCACAGTCCCGCGGTGATTTCCCACCAACGTGCCACGCAACATTGCACGGAAATCGGGGTGCGACTCGTGTTCCCGCCACGGCTGGGAGTGTTTCGTCACTGTTTCCGCCTCCCTGAATCGTGCTCCCGCCTGGCAGGCTCGTGCCGTTGCAACCAGACCGCAGCCCTGCAAGTCTTTTTCAATCAATCAAGCAGGGTTCGAGTCCGCTATAAACCTGCGAAGTGAAAAGGTGATTATCAAGCTGGGCACCGCAAAGAGCAGTCCGTAAGCCACGTAGAACATCATGTGCCAGTCTGGAGCCCCGGGGGCAGTCGGATCGCAGAGACGATAGACAGTGAGGAAAGCTAGAGGCCCCAATGCCGAGCTCACTTGGATCACCAAACCCATGGCTGACTGGAGCGTGCCCTGCTGCTCTTGTTTGGCCGCCTTACCGGTGATGCCAATTATAACACAATTGGACATACTCAGGGTCCCTCGGAGCAAAAGACTGTTCAGCTTCACCTGCCAAGGCTGAGTCGACATCATTAGTCAGAGATGGGAGATGCCAGCTGCCACCGTAGCCGATGCGATAATGCCGACCTGTCCCAGGAGTGGCCACAACGCGCTCACGCCTACTGTCAACCAGAGCATTTGAGAACCTTGCTCCAACATCCCATTGACATAGCTGTCTTGACGGGACCAAGCCAGCCGCTGCTGCAAGAACTGAGCCGACAGGGTGTAGAAACCGTTGTAATGGAAGGCATCGAAGATTCCAATTGCTGTGATCTTCTCCACCAGAGGACTCTGAAAAAGTATCCGCAGTGCAGATGTTGGCAGAAGATTGGACCAGGCAAACTTGACACGCTGCTGTTGTGGCACCGTCAAGGACTCTGGCAAACAGCAGATCGCAATCAGCAAGCAAACGAGCTTCCCCAACATGCCAAGCAGCATAGCAGTCTTTAAGCTCAAACTGCTGCCCAGCAGAGAACCCAAAATGGTCGAAAGAATGCAGGAGCTCTCCACCATGGATGCTGCGAGAACGAGGCTAGGGGTGTGGTCAATGCGGTCTATATACCAGGCAATAGGAACGGGTTCGAAGGGAATCATGCCAATGAACTGCACTCCGAATTCCAACCATATAGAAAGGTCAAACCATACGACCGCTGCCGCTGCCATAGTGGGAAGCAGCAGGGCAACCCGTATAAAAAGCACTGCAGGTCTCCTGCCGAAAGCATCGCTGACGGCACCGAGTGCAGGCCCAGCAGCAAATTGGATCACGGGGTGAGCACAGCCTTTCGCAACTTTAAGCTGCGTAACATCCACGGCAGCCCGGCTGCACGGCAAAGATTGCATTTGGCTGGAGCAGTCCAGTGGCAGACCATCAGAATACTTCTGGGCAAAAGAATTCAAATACATGTAATCTAGGCTTGGTGCAGATATGCCGTAGGCAAAAAGAGACAGAACATGAATTATCCACATCGGGGCCACTCGTGGAAGGATGTAAGAGAAGCTTCGCGGTTTGTTCTCCAGTGTCTCGGTTTCTTCGTTCAGAAACTCAGCCGCTTTGCCACGGTGGTACCTGAGCAGACATTGGGCCACGCCAAACGCAAGGGCATGAGGCAGAAGGACAGAGGTCAGGATGGGAGCAAGGTACTGCTCGGCTTGCTCAAGAATTTCGACGGTCAAGGACTGGCGATGCAGAGGCAGCGGTGCCGGCGGGGCCTGCGAGCTGTGCAGGTGCCCGGACGTACGCCCCAACTCTGCATTCACTTGCAAGAGTTTGACTTGAAAAATCTCTTCCAAATCAGACGATCCGTCTGCACAGTCGTTGCCCTCCTCACACTGGAAGCGCGGAGAGATTTCTTGTGAATGTACAGTCGCGTATAGCACAGCCACGAACAGGCACAGTAGTCGCATGATTTCATGACTATGCCTTGGGCCAAACGCTGCAGCAGTCTTGCATGCAAGCGACCGGCTTGTACGAGCAATGCTTTAAGCCCTTCTGAGTTGGGTTGATCTCGGCAGGTTGAAGAGTGCCCGAGAAGGGCAGAACTTGCCCTAACCTTCTAACGTTCCAACATTCCCTGTCGAAGAACGCTCAACGCAGATCTACTTGACGACCCGTCCTCTGCGGGTGCCAACCAGCTCACGCTTGTAGTTAGAGACTTCTTGTCTAACATAGCGCTGTGGGGCCTGTACGACTGTTTTGGTGGAGCGTGCTGCATGGCCGGTTCGTGCCCGACATCGCTCTCCTTCGGGCATAGGGACGGGTCAACGTCCCCGGGCATTTAGCCCACCCAATCTTGTTGACCAGGCTTGGGGAGTGGGAAACGAGAGTAGACAGTTCCGATGGCTAAGGCCCTCTCTCTCTCTCTCTCTCTCTCTCTCTCTCGCTCTCTACAGGGACAAGAGAGGGAAGCGGCCCTGCCCCCACTCTGCGCGCGAACGCGCACCTGCGAATCACGGGGCGTCTTTGCTCCCCCCACAGCCTGTCTCTCTCTCGCTCTCTGTGTGTACCGAGTCTTCGCTGGCAGCTTTGAGGACAAGCCAGTACGTGTGCCTTTTCTGGGTCAGTTGGAAGCGCTGGTCTGGTGTTGTCGCGTCTGCTGGCCGTACTGCGCAAGGCTGCAGCAACGGCCGCGCTGATGAAGAGGCAGTTGTGGCCGCATGGAATGCAGCCAAGCTGAACACTGCAGGTTCTCCTCAACCTGGGTGAGGCTATACAGTAGCATTCAAGGAGACAAAGGCTCTGGGGTGAGACCCTTGAAGATAGGCTCATCCGGAAAGGCCCGTATCACCGCGCAGGTATCCCGTGGAACATTCGGAGAACGAAAGCAGCCTTGAAACTCCTGTCTCAAGGGACTGAGCACCTCAATTGCAAGTTCTGGGATGCTTGAAACAAGCCGCGCGATGGCTCTGGGGTCGATCAGGATGCTGACTGTGCCGTGGCTGCTGCATCCTGCACTGAGCGCAAAGGTCTTCCTTCCGTTCATGAGGAGTTGATGCTCAAATCCTCTCAGCCTCCAAAGATGTCCTGTGGAAGTTCCATTTGTCCAACTCCGCCACCGTGCTGGTCGACGAAGAAGACCTGTCGGATGCGTGACATCGTTCCCCTGGATGGAAGCCATCTCGAGCCTTCCCGGTTGACCGGGAGATCACACGTATCCACCCATCCGGCAATGGCGGCCAACCTCCAAAAACAACAAGCCGAGCTTGGTAATCAAAGTCTCTTTGTGGTAGGAGCTTGTGCAGGTGCGACGCACCTTTGAAGAATTGGTCCTGCACCCTTCTCCATCCTTCAACCTGGGGCGCAGCTGTGATGCTTGAACCCCTCATGCTGCGTGCGGCATGCCGGCTTGACGAAAGGCTCGGAATCTGATAGTTTCGAAGTGGTAAATTACCCAGAAGCCCTCCGGAGATGGTTCTGAAGAAAATGTGAGAGCCGGATTGGCTCAATCAACACTCCTAGCTGCCGTTGTGGAAGATCTGTGGAGTCAGCACAACTCTTGCTCAGATTGCAAAAACTCGTTCACTGCCCAAGCGGGCAAACACGGAGCGGCCAGGGCTCCACTCAATAAATCCTTGTGCATTGAAGCCTCCTTCACAGAAGCCTATGGCATGTTGTCAGGTTTGTCCATGCCGCCTGGACTGCTGACAGCGCAAAGGTCGGAGTCTAGAATGCATGCAGTCATTCCAGCGCCATTGACGGATGGCATTCTGAAAGACATGCAGCTTGCATGATTTTGCCGGAAAACCGTGCTGGAACTCTGTTTACTTGTGGCATGTACTTGTCTAGACCGTTTTGCAGGTAGGCCGGGTAGCCGTGGGGATTAGGCAACACAGTGCTGCAAATTAAAACGTCTTTGAAAGTGCAGAAATCATGCACTGTTCCGGCCACAGTTTAGAGCTACTCTTGTTGGTGTACGTTGCTTGTGAAAGACTCAAACTCAAAGCAGCTGCCAGCAGCTTTTCCTTCAGAAGGTCAAAAAGGAGGTCCATGTGGAAAAGAGATGCAAGTCCTGCGAAGGAAGCAAATGTTGGGTTCGGCGACTTCCCCGGAGCTCCAAACAGATTCCAAAAAAGGCAACTACAAACAAGCTTCCCAGCCCAAATCAGCCTCACAAGGCGGTGTTAGGATTTGAGCGATTCCACTTGTGCAGCGTTGGTCGAGCTGGCGCTGCGCCAGGGCCGTGGCAGTCACTGGAACTCGGTCTGGCAATTGTTGCTGGCCTGCCCCAAAACTTCAGACTGCGTGGCTCGATTTATGAAGCACGCTTCAACTGGGACGAAGCAGGCAGTTCGGTATCAGACGTTGGCACCAAGGACTTCGAAAGTTGATGGCTGGCCCAAGCTTAAAGCGCCTTTCCGGGAGGCAGCCACCAGTCAGAACCGGACCCCGCTGGTTCCAATGCTCTGGATGTCAGGATTGGATTCAAGGGCGATGCACTCGGGTCCGGGTTCCGGCACCTTTGCAAGGTGTTCTGACTTAGCGAAGATTCCCGACTAAAGCCGAGCCGGATCCATGGTGCACGGGATCCCAAAGAAAAGCCACCAGCCAGAGACGTCACACCTGCGCAGCCCCCCGAATTCTGCGTCCCGCGCTCCACACCCCGAAGCCAGATCGAATGGGACTGAGGTCCTTGGAACGAATGGTCCTTATCGTCTTTTGCCTTTGTGTGTATAAATCCTCCCGTCAGCACTGCAACTTTGGCAAGCACTCCCTGCAACACATCGCAGTGCATGTAAACAAGGCGCACCCCGGCCTTGTGACATCGCCTGCCTAGTGGTGGCCGATGAAGACCTTGCATTGTCTCTGCGTCCAAGAATGACATCGCAAGCCTTGTGGTCATATCCGCAGCCATATCCTAAAGAGCTGTTCCAAATGCCGTTCGAGCTGAACAGTCAATGCAGACCTTGCTAGTATCGATATGCATCGGTGTTCTGCAGACCAGACCAGTGACCACAACGAAAGAGGGGGGGACTCTGCAAATCACCCAGCGTGTGGAACACACCATGCAAGAAGTCGTAATGTCTTCATCCGAGTATAGATGCCAACAGCAAGTGACCACCCACGTCTGTGCACATCCATGTCCGTTTGTGCTGCCTAAGGCCGAAGCGAGCCGCTCGCACGCTACAACCTTTAGCTCTCGAGCTATCCAGACATCTAGAGCCTGCTGGGCCCTGCCAGGGCGTGGAAGCAAAATCATGCAAAAAAGGTGAAACATTGTTTTAGCATCTGCCTCACTTAGCGTTACAAACTCAAGCGGGCAGATGGAAAATCAGCTGGGGCACTTCGTGGCACAAACATCCGCTACGAGCAAGCGGAGCAAGGCCCTGCTAATCTCAGGATCTGTCTTCGACTGCTGCGGGCATGATGTGTGCCAAACTCGTCAGACAGCATTTGTTGTCGGGGAGTGGGAATGAAGACTGACGACCGCATCAGCAGCATATCTTCCAAAGGTCCAAAGTTCGCACGCACTACATTAGCGGAAGTCTTCCATCTTTGCGGAGACAGCCCATGAATATTCAGCAAGAAGACTCTCAGACTTAAATGCAGCAGACTCTTGACCATGACTGTGGACAGTGAAGTTAGAGGTCACTTCGCCTTCCTCTTTCCAGAAATCTGCAACAGTCCATGCTTGCGAAGTGTCTTCGCAACAGCTACGGTACTTCACACAAGACCTCTTCGTCTGATTCAACGCGAACTTGAAGCTGAGATGCAGCCATCCTTCTTCACTGAAGTGCATTATGTTCCACACTGCAGGCTCAGCCTCGGCAGCATATCACCTCCGAGCAAGATGCCAGCTCAAGCATCTGGGCAGTCTAGGCATGCTTTCAATACACAGCACCGTGTGCTAAGTCTTTCTTGACCCCGAAATTTTCCGGAGGTAAGTCGTGGACGCTTTCTTTTTGACGTCTCGTTTGACCCGGCTGTACGGCGAGATAGTGTCATCGAAGATGTATCTGAGCAGTGTGCCCAACCTCATGCAGATGAGGGGGGGGGGCGCTTGCACATACAGATCAATTACTTCGCCGGAACGCATGGCAAGCAGTGGCTTTCTGAGGAGGGAGCCAGGAATTGCACCTCGGAAGATTGTCATAGAATTCGGGCGCCATGTCGCGGACCTCCATGCCAAGCAGCTAAGCTCAAGTTCTTGTTTCCGTGAGTGTCAGCTCGTGCGCTTTGGCAGTATGGCACCTTGGGAAGGTTGCCCCATGCAACATTGGGGAAGTCGTGATGCTCGTTGTGGTAGCCGACCTTTAGGTTGAATGGAATATGCCTCTGGACGGCCGCTCCTTTGCTGAGCTTCTGGCATTGTACGTCAACATGTTCAAAGGTCCGTAGTAGGAATATGTCTCCGTCTCGCCTGCCGAACATCTGCTTGAAAATCGCATCCGATACTGTATCCCCTACACTATAGTTACCTTCCATCACGTAGTGCTCTGCGATAAAATGGCCAGCCGTCGGATGAATCCTCAATATCGCGAACATACGTAGTCAGAGTAAAAGCGAAAAAAAAGTCGGTCAGTCTTCGACACGTGATCTTGTCAGGTAGACAGGTTACGTGGACTAGCTGACTTCCGAGGCCACGACGACCCTGCAAGGAAACTGGAGCCCAAAAACCAGATCATTACCTCAGCACTGCATATCGATACTGCCACTGCAAACGATTCTCGAAGCAATTTCTGCTCTTCAGAGAGCCTTCGGACCGAAGAGGTACACCATCAAGCCGTCAAACCTTCGAAAAGGCCGTCAAGGGCTACTCTCCTGAACCGATCGCAGCAAGACTCTAAGGGACCCACGAAAACTGAATGATGTAGTTGACTACCATCCACACCTTGCCAGCATCGACGTGCCAGCGATGACAACCTAATGCAAGCCCTGAGGATGTCACGTCTCCCACAACAAGGGACGGTTTTACGAAGGTCGGGCGAAGCCTGGGCAAGATCTTGGCCAACTGACCGCAGAGTTGCTTGCAGCAGATCGAGTGCCTGTCCCCCCTCGCATCGTGCTACGGAACTGAGTGCGCAACGCGTAAAAGAAGATCTGCAAGAACATGAAGACCGCCTGTGATGCCGCAAGAATTTACGAAGCACTAGCGACGTGTTCGCATTTCAATGCTGTTCTGCTGTTTCGAAGCAGTGGCCACGCTGCAACTTCCGTGCAAGCCTGGGACGTGTCAGCACTATAATTGCTCGTGCAACTCAACTTGCTGCGACCGCAGTGAAGACTAGCGCCGAGGTTCCAGAGTGCCCAGAAAGCTGAAACACTTGCATGCTTGAACACGCTGATAATAATGAACAGGCTTTCGCACTCGTTCAAGTTCAAGAAGATGTCAAGATTTTTGAAAGCGGTTCTGGGTAGACAAAAGCAACATTACACAACAAGAACATGTCTTCTTCAGATCGCTGATTTACCTTCACAGTCTTAAAACTGAAAGCATCGAAAAGAGCCTTCAGCAAACATTTCAAAAGCTGATCCATAAGAATTCTTGAAAGACTGCTCCAGATGGCCTCAAGCTTTTATTGCTTTCCATTGATTGTTAGCTTCTCGATTTCTACCGTGCGGAAGCTCTGCAGGACGAAACGTGACCGAAAAAGGGAAACTACGCGTTCTTCCTGAACGAACCCAACTTCATCCCTCCTGCCTGCAAACCCTTGCCCTATGCCCGCACGCGAATCGCTGTGCATTTCTGGGGCCTCACCCGTCACCCTGCGCTCCGGCCCACACTAAAGTCGGCATGACATGGATTGAAAGCTTCGAGCAGACGAGCACGAGAAGACGTTTAACTACCTTGTCTCTGTCTGCTGGAGACTAGCTGTTGTATCTTCCCAATATCGGTTTCTCTTTCTCTGTCTCCCTCCCTCTCCCTCGCTGGCTTTCTATTGCCATTTTCATCTTGATGTCCTCTCATCTCCTCACTCTGCAAAGCAGAAGAACATCGAATATACAAGAAAGAGCATACGGCAGGAGAGCGAACTTGCCCGTGACGGTGTCACAATTGGAGCGATGCTGGCACTCATGGAACCAGGGCACCAGAGAGCACACACTATCGCTATACATCCCTACAACTAGATGGTTACGGAGTCTTCGTCCCCTACAACCTGGACGACTGTAAGAATGGGCCAAACGGGAGGCAAGCCTCGGCAACCGTAAGAGGCATCCGCTGGGAATCGCTGAGAGCACGCGACTTCCTCCTTGGCCCTGGTTTGTCCTGTTGTCTCATCCCTGCATCTCCTCTCCCTAAAAGGACTGACCAAACAAGAAGATTACGAAAAGGGCGGCCAGCCCCTTCAAGGGAGGAGAAAACTTCAGTGTCTCTTCTGCTCCTTCTTCTTGCTTCTGCTTGAAACAAGACGAAAGAGACACGAAAGAGGGCTTGCGGATCGTTTATTTCAGTCGTTGATCTTGAACCTGCTTGTTTCTCCGCAAATGAGAACGAAAAATATAACAGTTTGCTGGAGCGAGAACGGGAGGATGTCCGACTTTCAACTTTCATTTGTGTTTTGGTCTGCGGATTTGTATTGAAGCAACCTGTGATTGGGAGCGTTATCTGATCTTCCCGGTGAGCTTTCGTACAAAAGTAGGGATGATCACAGCTGAGTTATTCTTTAATGGTGCAAAAAAGACAGGAAAGCTCGACCTTCACTGATTTATCGCAATAAATCACACGAGATCCCTCTCACGGGCAAGATCCTTCGTAGTTAGCAAGTAAAGAAACCCTTAAGGCCTTAAGGCACCACACAACGGAGCCACTACGTTCCTTACGTCGTGGAGTCGCGTCGGAGATTGAGATGCGAGAGCTCCGCTCCTAGCACTATGCGAAAATTGAGGGGGTCTTTGTGAATTGAGGAGGAAATTTCCTCTCTCCTGCAACAGCAGAGATCAGAGCTTCTGTCTGTCGTCATGCCCAAAAAAGCGAACACCAGGGAACAGAGATCATCAACATCTCGAACACAGGTAGCTAGCACCTCTATTTCGTCATGGGAAACAAGAGATCTCCTCTATGCCTTGACAAGCCCTGATAAGAAACGGAATATCTCGGTGTTGATATGAAGAGAGCCCCTATACATACCAATCCGAATAGAGATCTATGTCTGTGTCGCAGTGCGCAACGCCAGATCTCCAGCAGCACCTGTCTCTTGATAAGACAAAAGACAGTGTCTCCGTCTCTTGCTACATGTGAATGCATGTATATAATACATGTACATACTGTGTATGTACTATACATAAGTACGGATGTATGCACAACATGAGTATATATGGATGTTGTTCTAAATTAAAGGCGCCATGCCCAGGCATTAGGACAGTACTTGCGCCGGCCCTTGCGCCGTCTTGCGCACGCAGGGGTTTCCACTCATGTCAACATAACCTTTTCACAAACAACTACTCATGCTTCAAAGTAAAGCCGTAAATTGACATGCATTTCGACTTAGTTTGGGATTGTAACACCTGGTAAGCTCAAATACCAAGCCATACATATATTGTGAATGCAAAGCTGTACATATGTAATAACGTTATGTGTCTTGCGTCCGCCCTTTCACGAGCTTGCGCGCGCACAGTTGTTTAACTATTTAAAACGCCCATGCAACAAAACAACGAAATGCCTGCCCTACTCTTCCTACAAGAGGCGGGGGTTTAGAGCGGCATCCATGTGCAGATACGTACTTATATATCCAATTAAGGGAGCTGCACTATGCGGAGCTGTTTGGCTTTGACAAGACGAGATCCTTTATCATTGTCTACTGGGACATGGCAAGAAAATACCTCCATGATCCTCCAGGCCTCAAGCTTCCACATGAAAGATAACAAACGGCAGATCCCCTTATCATTGCAGAATAGCAAGGAAGGTCTTCCCTCCATCTCGTACACGGCGATCAGTAACTTCCGATATGCTTGAGAACAAAAGACGACCGATCCTATGCAACCGTGCATCACCTTTGTCTCGTCAGAAGACCCAAGACAGCTTGTTTAGCCAATGCGGCGTAAAGCTTCGTCATGGCAGGACATTTCCTTGACAAGTAATCATGAGACCGGCATTGTTGTTGCATACGAACGGGGAATCTTCTCAAAGAAGAGGCTTCCCCTGACTGGCCTTTACTCAGGCGTAAGAGGCTCTACGAGCAATAAAAGATCCTTGTCCTCTTCATACACAAACGAGAAAGCTGTTCTTTGTAGTCACGACCATAACAGCCAACATACCTGCATTTGTGTATATTCGTACATGTGACGCTTGGCAAATAACATATGAAGGTCCGGCGTAACTCTGTCTGCTTATAGCCGAGGTTTCTTTCCCCGCCCCTTTCCTTTCTGTGGAATGGCGTAGGCTGCTGGCTTGAGGCTTCAGGCAAGGGCCACATGCATACCAAAGAATGTGCCGCACGGCATCTCAGCCTTGCGGCATGTTCGATCAAGATAGCAAGTCGAAGTGTCGGTGAGGAACCACCTGAATCTCACGGCGTCGTTTGTCAACTGCTAAGCTGACATGCATCTGCCGCACGAACAGTGTCATTGCTGCAAACAGGAAGAATCGCAAATCACCCTGATCCAAGTCATGAAAAGCCAGCATGCACTTCGACCAAGAAGCCCTTCCAGTCGGGTCGGTATATCAGTGTCCACTCCGTCCTGGCCCTGGTACCGGTGGTGCCTGGCAGCATGCCCAATCCCTCCTCAAGTGAAAATCTGGCGAGGCAAGAAATGGAGAGCTCGCAAAAGTGGGTGACGCACATACCTGCCCACCCACGCCACCCTCTCCCTACCCACCCACGCACGCACGCACATCTGTCAGCATTCGTGCAAACGCGCGGGCAAGCTATCCGCCGCAACAACCCGCAGGGTACCAATACAGAGACTGACTGGAAAAACTGGCCAGCAGGTCTCCATATGATACCTTAGCGTTGGCATCTCGCTTCTCAGCTCATGCGGCGATTCTGACAATACATACACTCAGAAAGAGTTCATTCAATGTTGTGGCAGGGACGGCTTGAAGTTGATGGCGTAAGGAATGGCCTTGACAGCATAATCAGTTGCGGTGAGCTCTTCAAGTCTTGGTCTCGAGTGCATCAATTGGTCCGACTTTGTCGTCTTGACCACAACATACTGTACTTTGACCTAGGCGAGGGCTGTGCCACCTGAGGCCAGCTGCTTCTCTCGGAAATATGCTGCTGGTACTGCTTCACTTCTACTTAGGTCTCGGATCAGTATCTCAGTAAATCGTGTTCGTGGCATGCAAGAGTATTCATTCTTCTAATCAGTAGTCAACTTACACAGCGTGCGTTTTATCGTTTCCCGACAGACTAATCGAAATCCAGCTAGGTGTTACGTAAACATGAGCTAGCCAATCAGCACTACATTGAAACAGAAGGTGTATTGTGGTTAAGCACGTGTTAGACACAGTACACAGTAATAATGAGTGACATAGTTCTTTCTGAAACAGGTGTGATTGCATACTCCAAACATCAAATGAATATGACATGAATGCGCTTTCCAAGCATAACATGAATGTCGGGTATACATTAGGCAAACATCATCTGGATTTAATGAAATCGTGGCACTATGTTGAGCAAATGTTAACTGAGCGGCAAATGCTTTCGATTATTCTCACTCATCATCTGAACACTGCATATTTGCGTTGACTGCGCTGACTGTAATCTGTAAACTCGCCCAAAACCGTAGAAACCGTAGAAATATTCAGCACAAACTAATTCGATCTTTCTTTGACACTGGTTCCAGCAGCTGCATAAACACATGCATGATCCCCATTCGCTTGCCTCTATCTCCCTCCCCCCCTTCAAGGGCTGTCTGCAATAACCGTTGGCTAGCGACTGGGAAACTGATTGCAATTGCAACAGCCACGACTACAGCTTCTGCTTGCTGGAGCAGAGAACAAGACCACACGCACCACTCACCACTCCACAGAGCGGCGGGAGGGAGATGGTTGATAGCAATTGGACGGAGGGGATCATGCATCGCGCTAACTCAAAATCTTGTGTAAGAATTGGACTGAAGTGGCTACAGTAATGACTGATAGCTGGACGAGCAGCGCCTCGCGCGAAATGCCAAACCGGCTCCACCACCACCACCACCACCACCACAACCACCACCACCACCACCACCACCACCACCACCACGACCACGACCACGACCACGACCACGACCACGACCAACAACAAGAAGCTCAGACAACCAATATCTGGCAACTCCTTCAAGGCTGGTGACCCCGAAAGCGTTCTCAGATGTTGTTCTTTGTGTTGTTCTGTCTTTCTGTTTCTTGTCTTGTAATCGGCACTAACATCGTGCCCCACCGCAATTGCAAATCCCGCACAAGGCAGGGGATGTGACCCCTCCAAACGAATTTCACAACAATCGCAGCCTCCCAAACTGGGGCCAATTTTCGGGGTCACGGCAATTGAGTGCGAACCCCTTTTACCTGCACATTGTCTCTATCGTCAATGGGTTGTGAGTTGGGACGAAGACTAGTGTGCATGCACGATTTATGACGCGAGCCGCACAAAAAAGGGAACACTGCATCAGAAAGACCACTTGAGAGCTAATGAAAGCAGGGAATTTGAATCCCAGTCGCCAGTTGCGGCTTCGGCATCGAGCCCCGTTTGAGCCCCCCGGTCACGTCACGATCCTGCTTATATGATTATCACGGTTTCTAGGTGGACGACACAACTCATGAGTCAATGCATCGTTTGCAACACATTGCACATGTACTGCTGCAAGACTGGAGTAGAGTTGTGGTCGATGCAGCCACCAACCACACACTGTAGTATGTCAAACCTTCATGCCACTGCAGACTGGAGAAGATTAAGAGCGAGGCAATGGGCAGGTTGGCCACGAGAGAGATCAGCTTGTTACCCCAGATCCTAAGGCACAGGGTACCGTGAGCCAATTTTCTGATCTCCACTTCTAGCCCAGATTCGGGACATTCACGCAATCTGCTACAGGAATGTTTCGGAATGGTGGTTCACAGCCGAGAGCTTTATATGCGCGCCATCGGCTGTTGGCATCCTGCTTGAATTGCTCTCGCTGTCAGATGCTGAGGTGTGATATCAGTGGTGAAGTCAGACATCGATAATTTGCTCTTCATCGTCCAATGGTGCATTGAGTGATTGCCCTTCTTCTGAAACCTTTGCGTTGAGGAGGGCACGTAGAGGCGCCAAGGTTGTGAGCCTCAGCACAGCTTTTGGAGAACATCCAACACATCGACCACGGGATTTGAAGGGCGTCCGTCGCCAAATCCGCGGAGAAGTCCATCGGGTTAGTCAGGGATTGTTGATTTTCTGTGTTCGGGTCTACGATATAGGTTATTTTGTGATTTTAGCTGTGTTTCACAGGGGCTTTGCCTATGTGTTTGACGTGTTTCGGATTTCAGGGATATTTTTCTTAATACGGTGCATGTTGATTTTCTCGTTTCGGGCTGTTTCGGGGTTTAGGATACACGATGAACGGATTTACGAGAACATCCAACACATTGTGCCTCGGATTGTGCAGTCACAGATATCCACTACAGACACACAGCAACAAGAACGACCAGGGTTTTCCTCAGATGCTTTGATCCGAGTGTGGAGGTGCGGAGCCCACTGCAGGCGGAGGAGTGCGGCAGAGAGAAAGAGAGAGAGATATGTATATGTATATGTATATGTTACACCCCCCCCAACAACAACTACTACTACAACTTATCCTTTGTCCTCATGTTGCTCTTGGTTCTGCTCTTGGTTCAGCATGCTTCTGAATCATCTAAGTGGTTTTGAGGCTTGAGGGGTGGCGTGCCATATACATGTATACGTACAGGTATGTATGTATACATGTATGTATGCATGTATGTATCTATGTATGTATGTATCTATCTATGTATGTATATGTATGTATATGTATGTGTATGTATGTATGTATGTATGTATGCATGGATGTATGTATGTATGTATGTGCGTATGTATGTATGTATGTATGTATGTATGTATGTATGTGAGTATGATGTATGTATGTGTGCACTCGCCCCGTGTTCAGTAAGACGGGCCCCGTTCATTAACACGGTCCCCAGGAACCAAGAACGAAAAATACCGGTGGCTTTTTAGACAGCATCTTAACTTGGGCCCGGGCCCGTGTTAATTAACACGGGTCGTGCCAGTTAACACGGTCCCCATGAACCAAGAACCAAGAACTGGGATTCCCGAAAACTTTTCGGACGAATCTTTGATTTTGACACGGGCCCAAGCCCAAGTGCGGGAACCAAGATCCTGTCCGGAAACTTTTCTGGGAATGGTGGTTCTTGGTTCCTAGGGATCCTGTGAATTAACACGGTCCGTGTTCATTAACACGGGCCCATGCCCAATGCAGGAACCAAGATGCTGTCCAAAAACTTGCATGGGAATCTTGGTTCTTGGTTCCAGGGGACCATGTTAATTAACACGGTCCCGAGTATGGAAACCAATCTTCGGACAGATTTCTCTCTAGCTGAAATCCCGCTATCTCTAGCGCAGGTCGATACGACCATCATAAGAGCAGAAAGCTGCCATCGGCGGGAAGGTGCAGTGGTAGACGAAGGTGGACGGTGGATGGCAGCATTGCCACGCCAAAAAGATCGCAAGAGCAGATAGCTGCCACTAGCGGGGAGGTGCAGTGGTAGACGAAGCTTGATGGCAGCATTGTGTTGCGGGCGACCATCGTGACCTGCCGAAAAGGTCACAAGAGCAGAAAGGGCGGCCATCGCGATCGCGCACCGCCCGAATACTTAAGCCGAATCCGGGATTTCGTTCTGCAAACACCCAGTAGTGAACTTGGGCTGTTCCGACTTATTCGGTTCTCATTTACGTCATGCTGACTGTTTCAATCATGCCGGCCTTTCTCAGCACTCAGTGCTTGGCATGTAGTGCCTGAAGTCCGTGCCCGCTCACATACAGAGCGCCGGTCTTACCCATGCGCCTGCTCACCAAGGTACCGCATACCTTCGCCTGGCTCCGGAAGCTGCCGCTGCGGCGGCTGCTCTGCAACGCCCGGCGGCTGCTCCACAAGACCCACACCTTGACACCACAAAGCCACCGACTCACGCCGACATCATGAGGAATGCAAACAGCGAGTTCGCGCCGTGGCCTCACATCGGACGAACAGCGCAGTAATATACCACCGTCCCTTGGGTGTGCCCGTGGGTGTTCTCAATCAAGGCTGGAACAAAGAAGCAGAGCATCGCTTGCTCGAGCTTGTGCGGAAGGCCAAGATGCACAGCAGGTCGAAGTAGCTGCTTATCAGCTCCAGCAGCAGCACACCAGGCTCTGGAGGACGACCGCAAGGACTGCAATGCCCAAAAAGGAGAGAACGAGCAGCAGGTGGAGGTGGGCGAGCAGAACATGCCTGAGTCAAGTTCATCATCCTCATCCTCGGACTCAAAAAGCTCGGTGCTCGGACATGAGCGTGTCCAGACGGCCCTGGACGAAGCGATGGCCGAGAACACTGAGTACCGGCAGGGCATCTACTGCAAGGACATCATCATCATCATCATCATCATCATCAAAGAGTTGGAAGAAGAGCTGCAGGTGGCCAAGCGCAAGCTCGCAGAGTACGGGTGGAGGAGACACCGGCTGGTGAGTAGACCGAGGCGACCATCGAGACATGCATATGGCCTTTTGACATCCACTGTAACCGTCCTGAGTTCGGCAATGTCGCCCGCCTGGGTGAGGTCACCCATGCAGGGCGACAGCGTAGATGAGCTGCCGGAAAGCATTCGCCTCAAAGGCCAGCTTCCACACGGTTCCAGATTGGGGCTTATCGCACAAGACATGGAGGACGGAACAACGCCCGTAAAGAAGTTCATCTACTTCGCGGAGAAGACGAATTTCCAGCAAGTCGTGCAGTTGTGCAGGGGGCAGTGCTGTGTACCAACCTTCAAGGCTGGGCCACGGACACTCAAGAAAGCGAGTCAGTCCCTCAGCGATCGTCTTCCAGGATACCACATTGATTGGGCTAGCATCTCTTCCACAGGCACTGGCTTGAAACGCCCAGAAACATCGCAGAGGAACCCTGAGAGACGAACTCCACAAAGGTGTCGCTTTCGTAAACCAGCGAGCCCCAGCTTGCGAGCTGAGAACCAGCAGTATGTCTGGATTCTCACGCACATCAATCAAGCCAGCGTCCGGCTCGCCCATAGCAGGCTGACCGGAATCGAAGGTTCGCATCATGGCGCAGAATAAGGCCAGGCCGGCGCAACTGCTGCTAAATTCTTTCCGTTCACGACGCGGAGCCTCAAGCCGTTCATGGCTGATTTCCTCCCGCCAATCTTGTATCCGCTCCTGCTGAACCATGGCATCCGCACCCTGGGTTGGCCCGGTGTTGGCAAAACCCCTATGCTCATTGTCATGGGTTTGGCCATGGATCGATACCACATTTGCCGCCAAAGGATTGATGGCGTCAAGCCGGCCTGGCGCAGTGCTAACGCACGAGACAATTTCCGTCATCGTGTCGGGCGAGTTCATGAGGCTCTGATATTGGACGACCCGGAAGTTGACAAGCTCAACGTGTCCGATTTCGAGTTGGATGACATCGGAGGAGGACGCAACCTGCAGTGGCAGGTACAATGAGGTCAAGATGGTTCGCAACAACATGAGCGCCATCGCATCCAATCACTTGGAAGGTGAGCACGAACCACCCAACGACAGTGGTTCGTCGAAACATCACCTTGGAGGAGGAGTTCTTCACTCTTGTCAGGAAGCTCTCCGCTGGTCATAAACGTGTCGATGTTCTTAGAGTCCTCAAGCGTTCCGTCGCCATGGTGTTCGGACAGCATGCCAGGTATCTCCGCTTGCCAAATCAAGACCCTTACGCCATCGCTCACGGCATCAGCACTGGTGACGTCCACTCGGATGTTCTCAGCCCTCACGACAAGCCGCAGTGTGCCAAGTACAAGATCGGGACAGAAGAGCTTCTGCCCACCTTCGCAGAAGACGTCGCTTTGGAACACAGAATTCTCCAAGACTCAATGGCCTCGACGGCCCAGTTTAAAAGCTTGGAAGAGTACATAGAGCAGGCAAACAAACGCATAAGAGACATGGTGTCCGGCTTCTTTCGCCTGCCTGCGAGTTTTTGGGATCAGCACGTTAGTTCAGATTCCGACGCCGGGCCCCCTCTCACCATCCATGGCACTCCCTGCACAACCGCCACACCCAAACGGTCGGGCACATTTCGCGTCGGCAGGGTCACGACCAAGTCCGATCCCGCTGATGGTGTTTCCACAGCCCAGTCATTTCTGATGAACATGACACTCTTGTTCAGCCTTTTGAGGATGACCTTGGCCAGGGCCCTGCCGCCGACGTCACGTCAGGTGGGCAGAAACAATCGCTGAGGAGGGCGACGAAGACCCTGACGAGGAGGCTGCCAAGTACCTGGACGCCTAGGCCACATAGACATTTGCGGAGCTCACTAAGCGTGTAGCCGCGTAGCCGGATAATATACGGAACGGGACGGCAGGGGACTAACCGACGGGTGGGTCCGGCTTCACTCTTGCTTGTTCCGAGTATGGTTGAAATGGCCATGAGCCGTCTTATGGGAACTTGAGTGAGCATGATGCAAGTGATAGGTTTGTGTAGGCTCCCGACATGTTAATTCCGACCTTTGGACCGGACGAGTCTTCGTGGCCATGGCTCCAAAGCTTCAAAAGAACACGAGTGCATACGGCGTACGTGCCGAAGAAAGGTAAGTTCCTCAAGGCATTCAAGCGTCCGGCTTCCGTCAAGTCGAAGGAGGACAGTGCCGTGAAGTATTTTCGTGTTCGCGCTCCTCCCGTCGTGGGGAGCAGGCAAAATGGCGCCGCAGCCTCAAGGACCTCCTTTGTGCCACCAACAAATACATCGTGGACATGCTCACCAAGGACAACATCCTCCAGAACCGGACAGGCAAGCAATGCCCTTGGTGCCAGACGGGGACATTGTCTGGCCTCGTCGACTCCCCAGGTAGCTCATCGTTGAAAACGCCGCTGTGGCTACAAGAAGCGTCGACACATCTTCATCCCTTCTTTCAGGAATGTCGATGCATCCAGTCTTCAAGTTTAGCCTGCAATTCTCCTCCTGAAGCTTGCGGAAGTGAAAAACGATAAGACCCACACGCCTCTCGATGTCAACCACACAGCCGTGAAAGATATCGACCAGGAATTGGCCGAGGTTCGACGAGCCTGGGTGGAGCAGAAAGAAAGCACATGAAAGTTGGCGATGGCAGTTCTTCGGTAGACGTCGAAGGTGATGAAACCACCTGCTGCAAAACGATGGTGAAGGATGACGTCGAGTGTGGACGACCTGAGTCATCATCCATCCTCGAACGCCTCAACCCGCCAAGGACCCTGAAGGGGGCTTCCGGGCCCAGGAGCCCTGCGCTAGGTGGAATGGAGCCATTGGCCGAGAAGCACCTCAATGGCCGTGATGTGGTGTTCCACACAGACTTTGCCACAAGTTACAAGCTTCGCGGGCAAGGCTTTGTCCACGACAACGTCGTCCATGCCAACAAACGCGTAAAACTCAAAGGCAAGTTTGTCGGGAAGGCACCGACCTATGTCCAGGTGACCAGCCACAAGATCCCGGGTAGCAAAGAACCCTTGAAGACCAAGGCTGGGACGCAAATCATAGACAGAGCTTGGCGCTTTATGAAGACCGCATCACCCTCAATCAGTACACTCAGGCTGGCGGAAGGTTGATCCGCAACAACGTCCGGTCTGTCCAGTATTTGTACTGGATGCATGGCACCGACCTTCGGGTCGAGATCGGTGCCATGTATGTATTGCGAACCCTAGGCTGCTTTCGAAGCAATCCGTCCCAATCGTCAACGATTTTGTAAGCTTGTCCATCTTGTCCATCGTGGCTTCGTTCGCAGCGTCTTTCGCGCATCTTTATCGGATCTTTCGCGCTAAACCTATCATGATTTCAATGATTTCACAAAAAGATATCGCGGCATGGCGGGACA